GTGAAAATAATTTTTCATCCTGAATATCCAATCCTCCATAATCGTACTATCTATCCTCTTGCCATACTCTCTACATGCACACACATACACGTGTGTGTATATATCTTACCTATTATACGTTATATATGCACTTTAGTGTTAGTACCTTCCCTATTTATTCCAGCTGAAAATAGGAAAATTTACAAATACAGACATGCTACACTGTCTTCATCTAGTGATCAACCCTTGATTGCTGCCGTTAATGGGGAAAAAAATAAACCTCATGTCATCCTGAAAAATACAGAAAATTTTAAACTATTGTCATCCCAAAGCTTACCACCTCCTTTAAGAAGGGTAGTTATCAAGCATTGTATCAAAAGATCTGTCTGTCATCTATTTCCTGGACTTGGGATGGGTAAGAGGACTTTTTTCCAGGGAAGAAAAAAAAAATGGTTTAAAGGCAGTCCCGTTGGAAGGAAAGAGGCAGAAGTACCCTGGATAATCCATAAACTGGCCAGTTGGTCTCTAAATAAATCAAGAAGTGGTTTTACATTAAGGAATTAGAAGTGTCATTTCCAACCTGTGGTTTCTGCAAATACCGGATTCTATCCAAGTTGCATTTTAAAAGCAGATAAAGAAAGCCTAAGTGACTTAAGGGAATGTCACTTATTCTGAATCACTTCCAAATTTCAGTGGCAAAATACAATGTTGATTTGGGCACAGCAACTTTCTGACCTTCCTGCACTGGTAAGACACTGACCAGAAAAGTTTGTACAATTATGCTAGGAAAAAAGCAGCCAATTAAAGAAAAAGAAAATAAAGAACATGTTTATGTTGCAAAGTTAAACATCACATCAGCTTTTCTGAAATACTTTGGAACTTAAAGGAAGCAAGCATACAAAATGTATTTTGTAACATTTAAGTGTAGGTTAATATGTTCCATGTGCCATTTTGTATTTTTAAATATCACAAGAATTACTTAAAAGTGCTTGTAAAAAAAAAATCTCCAAATCTCTTCATTAAATTTTTTTTAAATGCAAACACTAATTTAGCTCTATAAGGCTTAAGAGAAAATGTTTATGTTTCTTCCAACCTCAGTTACCAGAAACACACCACACTACTTGTGATCAACACTTCATGTTCATGGAAGAAGCCAAATCTAATTTTGTGAAAATGAGATATTATGGAGGAAGGAGAAGCCAGGGCTTCAGTATAGAAAAGATTATAGCAGGAAACACTTGTCACAGCACGCCCCCTACCATCGGACCACCAGAAACACCAATTATATGTTTGGAAGTCTTGCTGCTTTTAGAGAGTTCTATCAAGAAGTTTTTTACAAATCCCTTGTTAAAATATGACTAGGCATATAAACAGAATAGAGATACAAGTTATTACATACCAAGCTCAAATTCCAGGAAACCATAATAAAGTTATGATTTGTCTAGCCACTTTTCAGTCATTCAGCCTGAAATGGGGCTTACAACCATTCCAAAAAACAAAAGTAATCAACTCATTTGCCATATAAATAAATCACAAGAGATCTTGAGAGACATAACAGTAGGGGTTAACAGTAGCTAATAAGGACTATATTCTGAAGCAGGATCGGGGGACCAGCAAACCTTAATACCGTTACATACAGACAAAACATGAGCTGTCAATCAGCTTTTCAAAATGTTGGCAGGTGTCTTCCCCTCTAAAAAGATATTTTCGTTCTCAGGGCTGTATTGTCTTTGTGCCTAATTGAAAAACTTATTGCAGCCGGTCCCCATTAGTGATTATCAAATGCATTTTTATGTTATGGTTTTGTTTTCAAAATAAGGGGAAGAAAAACTGGTAGGTGACTAGTAGTGGTGTTTATGATGGTCTCCCCCATGCCAAGAGTTTTGTCCAAAAGCAGAGAAGGTCAACATTCTCTTTTCTCAATCCTCTGCCTATATTTCAAAATAAAATATAGAGTTAAATGATATATTTGCTCTCTATTCCAGACTGGATGCAATTGATTTTAACTGACTAAATTATCTGATCTCTGCCAAGAATTTTATTTCATTAAGAAAATGATATTATGGAGCATCTGAGATCATAGAGCAGACTAAATATAATGCCAAAGGAGTTCTGAGAATGCTCCACAGTGAAGGTTTGATTATTTGCAGATGGAATATGAGGGGGAAAAAAAAAGTAAAAGAAAGAGTCAGGTCCCAGGGGTAAGCCTAACCAGTCCTGGTACCACTGCCACCTACGTGGTAGCACAAAGCCAAAAAAATAATCTTTTAAGCTACAACACCTTTTTTTTAAAGTACTAATCACTCTTCTTCCTAGAAAATATTTAACTGCCACTATCCAAAACAAAGGGGAAAAGGGAAAAATGTTGGTACCACAATAGGCTCCAGCATGTCAACTGTCACTGCTGACATGATTTGGCTAGTAGTCAAGCATTCACCAAGGAACTAATTTAAATCAATCTTTTTGGGGAAAGCCAATTGTTTGGTATGCACAACAATTGGTGCAGGATCAATCAGTGAACATGAGATCAATTAAAACCAGCTTAAGTTTGTGAAGAGGGACAATTCACACAACTTGAGTTAGATCTCTATTCATTTCAGTACTCTCACAATGCGATCCTTAAGCTTCCTTGCAAAGTAGAAAAGCTACTATCACCCTACACTGTCTCGCCAGGCCTTTAAGTAGTTCCACTTTTAATTAAAAACACAGTACACCCATTGTTAACACAGATAGTGTGGTCACTTTTAAGGACCACAGTTATTTTATAGCCAGAAACTTGGGATTTGGGAAGGGACATCTGTTAAGAAAAAGAAAAAAAAAAAAAAACTTTGATAGATTTTTTTTTTAACGCTCTTACCAATTTACATGTACTTGAAAGCATTTGAATTTTATTAAATCGAAAGGTTGGGCTTGGCAAAAGTTTCCAGAGTTTAGAGTTGAGTTTCTAAATTTCACCGCTTGTGGATGTGGATCGTAATTATTACAAGAGATTTTGCTAAAAGCAAGCTTTGAAATAAGTATGTTCTGCCTCAGATGCCTAAGAAGGCACAGGCAGAACCCTACGGGATGGCACTGCGGAGAAACGCGTGCAGTATCCCTTCTGGCCGCAGGAGTGCTGTAACGTCATTCTCCAACAGCATCTCCGCATTAAGTTCCACTAAAACAATACGCTTGATTCTTCTCCACTCGACCACAGTGGAACAGGCAGTGTGGATCAGAAAGCGATCACTGAATTACTAAGCCACCCAATAAACAAGAATTTGGCAGCGGGTTTTAGATATTTCCGCATTTTGCAAACTTTGAGCACTTTAGTTTTTTCAACTAAATAGACAGCAATTCTGCTTATAAGAGGAAAAGCCTCTCCAAACACTTCTGACCACAGTGTAATCAAAAATTGCCTGCTCTCCCGAATAATACCTCGAAAGAAAATAATGGGGTGGGGAAAGGAGGCAGGGCGGAGGGGGATAGGGAGGCGGAGAAAAGATGAAAAGACACTTTTTCAAGACAAGTACCAATACGAGTTCTCTGGGAAGAAATTTCTCCCTAATGTTTTTTGGTTTTTTAGAATAATTTATGAAAATAAGATGCATTTTCCAAGTGTCAGAAATGAGAGGGGCAGGCAGAGGTGGGGGAAATCCTTACAAACCGCACGCACATACACAGCTACAGCCGGAGAGCGGAGAATACGCAAGTCTCACGCCATCAGTTATCTGGAGCTCGGCCCTCGGGTGGGCCAACCTCTAGCTCTATCTCTAGGAGAGGACAGCATAAGGACGTCCTAAAAAGCCATTAAAAAAAAATAAGACTGGAAAAGCCCTCTTCAAAATCTGGATGCAGGACCGACCGGAGATTACATAAAATGAATTGTAAACAAATCACATCACAGGTCGAGTGAGACGTTTATTGGGGGCAGGGGCGGAAATCAAGATGTATGAACCTTGCAACAAATTCTAACTGCGCCAAAGTCTTAACTGGTGGACGAAGACAGCTCTCACCAGGTACCTGCAAAGGGCTGCTGCGCACCTTCCCTGCGCCGGAAATTCAATGTGCGCGTGGTTTATGTTTAAATCCCCCAGCAGACGCAACTGTGCCCAGAAGCCCTTCCCCTAAAGTGCAGTTGGATCAGCTGCAGCCTCAGCAGGACTCAGAGGCAGAAGTGCGCACACACCAAATCTGCAGGAAACCAGTTCTCTGCAACCTTTCTGGAGGCTTCCACTCGCCTTCCCCGCTGCGCACAAAGTGATGGAGAGGGAGGGAGCAGTCAAAAAGCCGCAAGTGAATTTCATTGAGAACAATTCTTTCTCCAAAATAGCCGCTTTTGAGGGAAGCAAATGGAGGAAGCAAAGTGGGGCCTGTTTTAAAAACATCACTCTGCAGGCGAGCACACCCCAGAAAACCGGCGCATGAGTTGACACTCAATTCACAAAGTTCCCGTCTCCTCTCAGGTTCCAGAAAAAGAGATCCATGTTGCTCTTTTTCCTAGAAGGGTAGATCCTCCCCCTCCACTTAATACACCTTCGCTTAATACAGCTCGCTCACACACGCGCGCGCGCACACACACACATACACACACACACACACGATACTAGGCCGGGATTTGGGGCGCACGTGGGTGGAGAAGGTAAAGATATCACCTCTAGGGAAGATAGTCAAGAGGACATAAAGAGAGAGAACAAGAAAAATGAATGCCAGATAAATGCAGCGAAAGAGAAGAGCCGAGGAGAGGCGGCGGGGAGGCGGGCGCGGGCGCGGACCGCGCGACTTAGCCGTGAGCGCCCGCCAGACGCCCGACTCTCAGGGCTCCGGGCGCGTCCCGCTCCCGCTCCCCGCGCCGACAGGGGACAGAAAAGACTGAGCATTCTGCAAAGCTCCCGGCCCTAACAGTAAGGAGCGGTGGCCCTCGAGAGCTGGGGTGGAGAGCATGTCCTGCCCACCTGAGCACCGGAGCCAGGGCGCGAGTGAGCACCGCGACAGCCCACCCGCCCCCGGACCCCACGCACCTTCGGCAGAGAGTGACCCACCTCGCTTACTGCGTCTCCATCGGTTGCCTTGGCAGTGGCTGTAATCCATACAGTTCAGAATGATGAGGGCAAAGGAGAAAAGGCGAAACTGCATCTGGACGGTCGGGCGGGCGAGAGGCGCCTCTCAAAGTCGGGGAACTGGAGGGCTCATCCAAGGAGCCGGCGCCGGCCGCGCTGCTGGGGAGGACTCGGGGGGAGAGTCGCCGCTAGCCCCGGGCCGCACCGGTCAGTTCAGCACGATCAGCATCTCTCCGCCGCGAACCTGAGAGATGAGGGGCGAGAAACAAGGTGGGTGGGGATTGGAGAGAGCCCGGGAGAGGCAGCTGCTCCTTCGCGCGTCCCGATTTAAAGAGAGGAGGGAAGGGGGAAGCGAGCCTACTGCCTGGCACGAGCCGCGGAACAGCTTAATCCAGAGCGCGCAGCTGCGGACGACTTGGAGGGGAAGGTGATTACAATCAGTGAATTAGCAACCGCTGCCGCGCTCTAGGCTCCCACCCGGGGGCTGGACGTCGTGTGGGCGCTCGGGGAAAGGAAAGAGTTCCAAAGGCGCAGAGAGCGCGGGGTTAAAAGAGCGCTCTTGACCCTTGGGTCCCCACGGTGGGGTGCCCGAGCGCCGCGGCTTGTCGCGGTGTGGGTCGCCTACCGTGCGCACGTAGATCGCGGGCGGCGAGGCGTGCCTAGGTGCGGCGCTCCATCGCGGGCTCGGGAAGCGAGCCGCTTGATTAGCACGTGGGCTGGGGGAAAGTTTGTGGAGACCCGCCGGGAGCTCCTGCTAGCTCTGGGATTCCGGCGGCCGCCGCGGAGTCGGCATGCGCTGAGGGTCCTTCGGGCCGGCGGCGGCAGGCAGGGCGCGGAGAGCGAGCGCGTCTGCAGCCACTGGGATGCTCCGTCCGCGCCAGCGAGCGCGATCCCCGGGCGAGGGGTGCGCCCGCTCGCACTCTCCGCGCCCTGTGCAATTGTGCCGCTTCTCGAGCTCTCTGCACGTTCCCTCCACAGCTAAGGTTTCTCCCGTTTCCAAACTGTAGGAGACGGAACCCTACTGTGAGGCCGAAGGGATGTGGCGAGCACACTTTCCGATGGAGATGCAGACCGGCAGAGGCTCGGGATGCTTCTATAAGTAGGTGGTGCTGTAGTCCAAGACATCTAAATCTAGGCTGCCTGGGAGTTCCTGGGTCCTAAAGCCAGAAACGCCTGGGTTTCCCTGAGGTCCTAAAGAACGTTGACGGCCTACAGAGAGCCTAACTCCAGACAGATCCCCGCCGGGCTTTCCAAGAGAGGGGGGCTAAACTGAAGAGCAGCTGGGGTCAGGGGCGCCCCCTGACCTTGCTGAGGTCCCGGAACCCCGCAGTTCACCCGGAGGCGTCCTCTCTGGAGCTCAAGGGTCTATTCCAACCTTGACTCCAACCTTCCTGCAGGGGGATCTGACTGAAGGACTGACGCCTTTTCCTAAACCTTCCCCAGCTGAGACGGCTGTTTCTGACAAGCAGTTTAAACGGGAGCAATACGCCACACCTCTGCCACTTTTAATTTACATCTTGGCTTTGTTTTACAGGAAGAGACATTATCGCAGCTGAAATTAAAACGCACCATCAGTTTGAGGGGATGAGTATTTCCAACAGCTTTTGCTTATCCTCCCTCTAGGACTGTTATTTCTTGACTTTGTTTCTCCTCCAGGAAAACTTGCAAAAACCTGCGCGACCCCTTGCTTGCAGGACTCAAGAAATTAGGAACGTGATTCTTTAAAGGAAAGTTCACTTTCCGATAAAGTAACTCCTCCCTCCTTTTCCCAGTTACAAGGTCTTCTGAGTTAAAAATTTTAGGTGCCTTGGGTTTCGACAAATACTCCGTTTAACAAAGTGTTACACTGAATACACATGGGGCTACCTGACTTCATTCTGGTCCAATCTTATGTCCTGCATTTGGAACTGTGGGAAACAATGTATTTACTCTTAGGTAAAAGAGAAAAATGTATGCTCTAACCACGGCAGTTTGGATGACTGTAGACATCCTCACAGGTACCATGTTATTATGAAAGCATTTCCTAGTATTTAAATTCCCTTTTCTATTTCTATTTTCAGTTTCAGAAAATGTTCAGAAATTTGGCAACTTAAGACGATCATATAGAAACAATAAGAATATTAACATAGCCATGTCTATTAACCATTCCATATTGCCTATCCATAACTATTTGACAGATGTCAGTATTACATACCAATACTTACGTGCCAAGAATTTCAGTGTTATTCCTTTTATGCATGCCTCAGAATGCTCAAGTAAATCTGACTTGAGGTCGCTGTCCCCATTTCATACATAAGAAAATCCAGCCCCGAGACTGGCCCACAGGGCACAAATAGAGTTGACAAACCGCATTGCAGAAACCGTGGATCTGTTTCTCACCTTTCTACATTCTTGATTTTTAAGGATCAATTTGGAAGCACAGAATTTGGAAGCAATTGGAAACATTTCAGCCTAGGGAGTGGCCCAGTATTTGGCATAATAACTTGATATTCTTTAAGCATCTTGATATGATGCCAAACATCTCTCCAGCATCATAAATACTAATGTCTCTCAAATATAAGCTGCACACAACAAATGTATTGCACTTATGAAGGAGTTAAATCCATGGGGGAAAAAAACTTATCTAAATAAGCCCCCTGCCTTCCCGTATAGCTTTGAGATCTATTCAAGATCAATGGTTATCAGTGTCCTTTAAAATATTTAAAGGCAAAAATAAACACAAGACCAAGCAGATCTATCTTTACCATTAATCACTTGGGTCGCATTGGGCAATTTTCTGGATCTCAGTTTATTTAGCAATATGTTCTGAAAATTAGACCAAGGTCTCTTTCACCTCTATCATGTTCTGGTTTACAATCAATTTTCTATTTTATTGGAAAGTTTGTTGTAGAGTATAACCAGTGTGAGGACAAACTCATCAGTCATGGATTTTCCATGTAGAAAGAATAGTTAGCCACTGTCATCCTTAGCTAAATTTACAGACCACTTTCAACCTTATCCCTTCAAAGATAACTTTCCAGAATTTTACTCCTTTGGGTTGCACACTTGGCACTTTTTTAACCAGACTTGCTTTTCAGTTTAGTGAACCCCAAGTTTCAGTTCATGAAAAAGAATTTTAAAAGCACCACTTCTGTGGAAAATTGGTTAATGTGTTTAGTAAGTCAAAAATAGGCTCTGTGAGGAAAGGAGATTCCTAATTCTTTCTTCATGTGTTCCCTCCTATCTGCTCTGCCTTTTAGAGGACACCACTGAACCTCAAAACTCTGTCACACTTAGTTCTCACGCTTAATTGCTTTGGGGATGATTTGTTGATAATGCAGACATTTTTTTCTACATTCACTGAATATTTCTCCTGATTTCAGGATCCCAGGAATGTTCTTGCTACTAAAAAATACAACGCTAGCGGATCCTAAACTATGATTAACTTTAATCCCATATCTCTGCTTCCTTTCATTTCTAAACTCTAAATATGGTGTTGAGGGTCACAGCTTACAGTTTTTCCATCTTGAAGACTCAATGGACATTTTCTGCAAACTGAGTTTATATAGTAGTTTCAGTAAACTGGCTTTGCAAATAGATTTGTGCTTGGTGTCTGTCTACAGAGGAGCATGCTGAGGAGGTTGACCCCATACCACTCATTAGTGATAGGGAAGGTCTGGGGGGAGGATGATGTTATGTAGCTGGGAAGCAAAATTTATATTTTACTTTTTTAACTTTCAGTTCAGTCATTTAGCTCTAAATTCAATCCTTGCAAAAGGATATACAGGGAAAAGTCTCTTCCATCTCTCTCCCCAAGGCAGCCAGTTCCCCTTCTTAGAGACAATCAGTTATTCTTGTATAACTTTCCAGGTCTTGAGTATACTTCTAAGATATTTTGTGCTTATAAAGTAAGTAACTGGATAAGGTTTATCCAGTTAACATCCTCAGTCTTTCAAATGCACATTTTGGCTTGTGATTATCTTTCACCTTTTTTTTAAAGCAATTTTTGTGGAACCCTAGATAAGTAAAATATTCAGTGTTTTTTTTTTTTTTTTTTGAATATGAGTTCCCATGGAACCAATACAGCACAGCTCAAAATATCAATGAAGTGTTTGGGAAGGATGTGGCTAATGAACGCACAGTAAGTTCCAGTGATTTTAATCTTGAAAATGAGCTATGTGGGCCACCTGAGACCAAGGTGGATAATGATGACCTGAAAGCTGTAGTGGAAGGGAATCTGTCTCAACCTACACATAAATTAGCAGCAAGGTTTGACATTACTATTTCAACAGCATTGGACCATTTACAACAAATGGCAAGGTAAAGAAGCTCGATAGATGAATCCCGCAAGAATTAAATGAGTGTCAGAAGAGATAATGTCTCAAAGCTTGCCTTTCTTTGCTATCATGACATAAAGGCGAACCATTTCTATATCGTATTGTTACATATGATGAAAAATGGATTCTTTTTAACAATCATAGGCATTTGGCACAATGGTTGGATAAAGATGAAGTGCCAAAACAGTCCAAAACTGAATATTTATAAAAAAAAACAAAAACTAATGGTGTCTGGTGGTACAGTGCTGGTATTATCCACAACAGCTTAATGAAAACTGGTCAATTGATTACAATAGATGTCTACTGCAACCAATTGGATGACATGATGAGGATGCTTGCAACTAAGCAGCCGAGATTGGTCAATAGAGAGAGGCCAATCCTCTTGCAAGACAACACTTGACCACGTGTCACACAAACAACGCTGCTAAAACAAACTACAGCAGCTGCACTTGGAAACTCTCTGTCAACCACCATATTCACCAGACCTTGCACCAACTGACTACCACTCCTTCCAGGCTTTGGACCACTTCTTGCAAGGAAGAACATTCAATTCTCAACAAGCTGTGGAAAATGCCTTTTGCGATTTTGTCAACATTTGATCTCCGGGCTTCTTTGCTGCTAGCATAAACAAGCTACCCTTAAGATGGCAAAACTGTGTCTATAGATAATTTAGGCACATACTTTGATTAATTGCACTGCTTCTTGTTTGAGCTATAATAAACTACACTTTTGATTCAAAATCGGACATTTCATATTTAATGACTATATACGTGTGTATACATACATGAAATATATTCTTCCATATATATAATATATACATTATATATAACATATTATATATATATAATATGTTCTGTCTTCTCTCTTTTATGCAACTCGTAGAATACTGTATTTACTAGTCACCACCTTGATTTTATTTTATGTATCTTAGAGTTCATTTGGCATCAGTTTCTAGAGAGCTTTCTTGTTCTTTTTATACAATCACATTTCGTTTCATTGAATGGTTATATTTAGCCAGCCCCCTAGTGATAGATGTTTATTGTTTTCATTCTTTTTCTATTGTAAACAATGCTTCAATTAACTTTTTCATGGGTCATTTTACCTTTGCATTATAAATTCTTAAAAGTAGAAAAGTTGGATCAAACAGTTGCCTGTGTGTGTGTGTGTGTGTGTTTCTTCCACAGAGGTTTTATCATACTACAATGTATGAAAATGCCTATCTACATAAATACTGCCCAAGACTTTTTGTTTTTTTGATACTTATAGGTAAAAGTGGTATCTCAGTAAAGTTTTAATTTGTATTTTTTAAATGAAATTATGTATGTCTTTAGTATGCTCAAACCTTTTGTATTTTCTTTTCCATGAACTCCCTGAAAATATAATTTCTCTTTTTCTATTGTGTTCTTGATCATTTATTTTTATTTTGTAGACTATGCATGTATCTATATATTATCTTTTATGATTTGAGTTGCAAATATTTTTCCAAGTTTCCCATCTGTCCTTTAACATTTTTGTTGTATATTAATATATCAAAAATATTTAAATATTTTTCTATAGTGCAATTTGCCAATCTTATCTGCTATAGCTCAGTGTTATACTTGAAAAAGTTTTTCCCCATGCTGTTGTTTTTAAATTTTCATTTGGGAGTTTTCTAATACATTGTTTCAATGTTAACAACCATGTTATGACTGTACAATGGGAGCTACAGTAGAATAGATTTAAATTTTTCTGAATCTTTAAGTATTTATGTTCACATAAATTTGATTTGGTTGACTTTGGCACTGATTCTTGTTTTCATTAGCTAATTGATTTAGAGTTCTTTTATCTTTTATGCTATCTGATATTCAAATTCTCAGATTTAAAGTTTCCCACCATCCTCTTATTCATTGTTGATATTCGTTAATGTCATATGCATACTTTCAATCTAGAATTTATTTTTTAATTGCTTGGGAACAAATTATGGCATTTTTGCCATTGTGTCAATATTGATAGTATATTTTTTCCTGATAGATACAATCAGAATGTCTGTTTTGCTAGCTGCATGTGATAGCCTATATTCATGTATTGTATTTTGTATGAAGTAATTAAATTAATATGAAAGATCTCCTACAAGGTCACTGACCAGTCCTTATCCAGGCCAATTTGTTGTTTTTAAAAAGCGACATCATAATCACTTATTTAACATTTGAAAAATGTGTAAATATGTGACTCCTCCAAATGTTAAAAACTGTGTTCTGCCACTTGAGAACTCTTCTGTAGACTGGTGTGATAAGGCCTATTTGTCATTTTACTCTCCACCCCTATGGAAGAAATCCAGAAGGCAGTTTTGTTGGCTTCAAAGGAAGTCCAACTCAGACCAGCTCAAAAGAGAAAACTCAAGATTTGACCAAAAGTTTTAAAATTATTTCTCTTATTTAATTTTGTGTGTCCTGAACTCTTTTGAACTAAAGTAATATGCATCATTTTCATTCTTTTTTGTGTGAATGTGATTGCTGGAAGAAAGTGTTACCGTACCCAGTTAATAAGAGATACACAGAGATTCTCAGCTATCTTAAGAATTAGGCTCAGTTTTCGTTAATATAAATAGGATGTCTGTTTTCACTGTGTTTGTGGA